TTAGTCCACACAGCAGTACAGAGGGCTCAGTTCAACTCACTTTCGTGGAACAGTTAATATACTGGAAGTCTTTCAACTCTCGAGGGCTGCTGGGACCAAGGTCAAGGAAGCAGACAGCTGAGTCTTCCCTCAGGTAATGCAGGCAGAGTCCACCTATAGGCAGCAAATAGCAGGGCTGGTCACCAGCAGTCAGCAGCTCAGGAGCTTAGGGAAGCAGGCCCGGATATGACATTGAACTCAAGCAACGCAAGATGACAGGATCCACCAGCCTCAAGCTCAAGCAGTGTGCACACCAGCAGCGTGGTGAAGCAGGTCTCCAAGGAACTTGAAATTCTAGAGACACAATCCACAGGTTGGCTTGCCCCACGGGTAGTGTAGCGCACAAGTTGGGACAGAGAACTAGCTAGGTAAAGCAGTCTCACCCTGGTCTGATCACCAGAATGCAAGAGAGAGAGGGGTGGGCCTTGTTGAGCCATTTATCTCTGCCCTCCAGTCAAACTGCAACCTGATGGATCCCACATGTTCCTGTTGGCCAGGTTGGTACAATAAACCTACCTATCACAGTCTTTGGCCCCCAAAGAAGAGAATTGCCACCTCTCTGCCGGGCTGCAAGAGAGAAGCTGCTCTACCTCACGCTGCCCTGCAACAATCTGATGCTTGGAAGGGACGTGCGCAGAGCCTGGGCAGCCATGAAAGGGAAGAATGTGGCTCTCCTGCCACAGGGTGGGGAGAGGAGGGCAGTCCTGAACCACAGGCTTGCCACCCCAAACTAAGTGTGCCCCCTCCCATGAAATTGTCCCCCCCAACCCCCGCCTGCTTTTGCATGACTGTGTTCATAATGAGTGGAACCAGAGACAATTGGGCTTAATGTGGCTTTGATAAGCTGTGGCTCACTGGCGGGCTGCAGGACGGGAAGGGAGGTGAGAGGCACTCACGCCTACTCAGCTTGTTGGAAACAGTAGGGTCATTTCTCTGAGCTTTTGTCTTGATGATGGGGTTGAAGTCGCCAGCCCTGCACCCCACAGTGAGGAGTTCTCCATCCACCCAGAGGGGTGATGTAGCTGGCTGTAACTCCACCTGCCCAGAGCGCTGCAAGGCCACTCTCTCGGGGAACCATCTGCCAGCTCTGCAGGGGCGCCCTCCAGCCTGGGGGGTGGACATCGCTGAGGCATGGACCAACTCTATCTGTCCCTATAGAGACGCTGTAGCATGGGCTGGTCCCCCCCCTCCCCCCTCCGGGAGCTTTCTAGATACTCTTGAGAGTAAGTAACACTTGCTGGTATGATGGCTGTGATGGCTGAGTTAAGTGTCCAGGGCCCGGGGCAGGTAGGCTTTCACCACCAGCATGCCTCCTCTCCTGTCTAGAAGCCTGAAGCCCACATTCAGGATCCACCCACTTGAGCCGGGGGAGGGGAGGGGAGCTCCAGGGGAGGGTCTTCCCTTGAGGGGTAGGCGGTCCTGGGCTGGAGGCTATGGCTTCTCTCTGTGGGACAGCGCTGGCTAGGACCCACCCTATCCTGGAATGACCAAACATCTTCCAAGAAGCCCTGTTTCCAGGGCCCGGCTGACAGGGCAGGGCTTAGGGCTTCTGTGTCTCTTTAGGAGAGACTCCTTGTAACCCATGACAGTGCCAGTGCTGCTTGCCCATCCACAGATGAGGTCACTGGGCCTGAGTGGGAGATGACAAAGGTCACCTCCCTCCCTTTTCTGGGGTCACTCTGGAGCCTGCCATGTCCTTTGTGTCACCATGTGGCAGTGGAGTCCCCACAGGAGGATGATAGCTGTGTGTCCCTATTAAAAGCCCTTTCTGAGGTTGATTTGTATACACAGGACCCCAGGGTGCTAGCCTCCCCTCCTCTGACCCCATTGGTCACCTGGGTCCAGCCTAAGGCCACTCCTGCTTCCAGCCCGGTCCAGGCAGGGGAGATAAAAATAGCCCAAAGATGTGGTTAAGGCAGACTTTTTGGGGGGCCATGAGTGTTTCCTGTTCAGGGTGGATATTTAGGTATTTTTAAAGTTGCACCACGGTTGGGGGCAACACCTGCCACTGCAGGTGACACTTCCGGGGCACTGTTCAGTGAGTCAGGGTGGGGACCAGGAGCACTTTGTTAAAATTCAGATCCCCCCTCTTCTTTTCTCCTTCTTCCACCCTGAAGGCCTGTGTCCTGCTCTGCCTACCCCACCCCTCCCCTCTCCTCCACCTTCCCAAAGTGATCCCACAAACCCAGCTGGGCTGGCCAGCTGTCATTGTGCCCCTCCCCCAGACCAGCTCCAGCTGGGGTCTCCCTCACGCCAGGTGTCAGGGAGCCCAGACTTCCAGCGGCCCTCTCCTGGGACCCATCGCTGTCCACTCAGAGCATTCCTTTGTGGGCCAGACTCCGGACCCCTGGCTGGGGAGTGCCAGCCAGCCCAGACCTCAAACCACCAAAGCCCAGACCTACCCACTGTCATGGAGTAACTTCAGCCTCCCCGTGACCCGATGGGACCCGTCGATCTGCCCCTGTGGGCTTCTGAGTGTGAATCTCTAGGGGAGGAGACTGCCTCATCTTTGTCCAGAGAGCAGCTGGGGGTGGTGGTGGGTTTTTTTAACAGTCGTTTAATTGACATCTACATCATGTAGCATACCCTTCAGTTGATCGGTCGTGTGAACAAGAGTGGGACAGTTGTCATTACAGTCGGCTCTAGAACATTCCCTTCCTTTGGTGCTCACGGCTATTAGCTCCCCCATTCCCCTCCAACTTCCTCTCCCATTTCCCCAACAAGCCAGGGACTTATCTCTATGATTTACCTCTCCTGGACTTCACAGACAAAAAAATGACTAAATCCATCAATCAATCATAGACCCAATCGATGCTGACTCACAGCGATCCTGTCGGACAGGGTAGAACTGCCCCTGTGAGATTCCAAGGCTGTAACTCTTAGCCCTGCCCTTCTCCTTTTGCCCTTGGCCGTGGGACACCGCCATGACCCACTGTGTCTGTCTCCAAACCCAAACCAAACTCTCTGCCAATCAGTCGGTTCGACTCAGCAGTCTTACGGGGCAGAGTCTCACGGCCCCTGTGCGTGTACCAGACCGCCACTCACGTACAGGACGAGTCCCTGGGGAAGCACAGCGTGCTTGGTAAAGTGGAGGGGCAGCAAAAAAGGAAGGCCCTCAGGGAGACAGATCGCCACAGTGGCTGCATCAGGGGACTCAGGCACAGAGCAATTAGGAGGGTGGTGCACGACCGTGAACAGTTTCTTTCTGCAGTGCATCTGGTCCCTCTTGGAGGTCAGAACTGATTGTATGTCACCACCAACAATATATCTTTACCGGAGGAGAAAGCCTCATCTTTCGCCTGCGGAGTGGCTGGTGGTTTTGAACCGCTGACCTTGAGGTTAACAACCCAGAACGTAACCCACTGCACCATGAGGTCTCCTGAAACAGCCAATCGACTTGCATCGAGTCAATTCCGATTCACAGCACACCTATAGAGGGTTTCCAAATCTGCATATTACTTGGGAGCAGACAGCCTCATCTTTCTCAGTGGGGGACCAGCCTCTCCACAGCCCAATGGGTCAAGGGGGTGGTTGTGTAATTGAGGGGTAAGTTAAAGAGACATCAGACAAGATCAAGCATGCAAGGTCTCGCCTCCACAGTCATGGCTTCAGGAGCCAGGTCCGAGCAGAGCAGGAGGGAGGAATGTAATCTCACGAGTTTATATAATCTCGGGCACGAGGGCCGTGGAAAGCATGCACGTCACAGGAAGGCGTTGTACTGTCACAGGAGGGGGACGAGCTAGGGGCACACATGCGATAGGAAGGCACGTAACAAGATGGGCAGCTCAGGAGTCACGATGGCAGCCCAACCTTGGTCATCTCTGAGCTGGCTTGACCTTGGGTGTCTTTGAGCTCCTCTCCTGGGAAACCTCCATTGTCCTTATCAGCAGGAGTGGGCTCTACTTAGGGTGGGACAGGTAATAGGGTCTGATGGCCTTAGATGGCTGACAACCTCCAGACAGATACCCTTCAAGCAGTTGAGCTCCAAGCGTATGGTCAGTGACCGTGTTTGCAAACAGCACCTTAGATTTGGCATTATTACAGGGGGACCTGGTGGGGAACAACAACTTAGGAGAATGTGAGTGGGACCTATCTCCAGCCCACGAACGTGAAGGTTCCCTCCCCGGGAGCCCTGCCTCCCAGGCTCCTGAGCAAAGGAACATCGAGAGTTTGTCCCCATGCACTCTCTTCTGAGCGCTGTTTCCCACATGATTGCCCCAGAGCAGCTGATGGGTTTGAACTGCAGTTAGCAGCCCAGCACAGTCCCGACTGTGCCTGCAGAGACCGACAGAGCCCTGGGGTCTCTGGGGGGGCTTGTCAAAATGTTGTTCCGGGGCCTGGGTGGGCCTGCAGTAGCACTGCTGCCAACTTCCCAGGTGCCCAGGTGCTGCTGGCCCAGGACCAGAGAGAGTGAATGAGGGTGGGCTGTGCAGGCCAGGGGTGTTGGTGGAGGGTGTCCCGGAGCCGAATCCAGGTCCCTTCTCAGGAGTTGCCTGGCCTCGGCAGGGGGTGGGGGTGGGGTGCTGTCAGCTCTCTGAGCGTAGACTTCCACATGTGCGCAGTGAGGACAAGAAGCACCATTGAGCTGTAGCCTTTGCCACACTTTCCATGCGCCCCCCACCCCCACATGGGAATGAGGACACACGGGAGCCCGATAGTTGAACTGTCAGCTTCTGAGCGGCCTGCTTCTTCCAGAGGGGCCGGCTCTGGGCCGCTGCGAGTCTGGGCTCACAGTGGCAGCCTCTGGCCTTGACTCTGCGCTCCAGCAGCTGGCTCACCTCCTCGCCAGAGCTTCGATGCCCTTGAAAGTTTCCGCCACAGGCCTCTGAGGCCAGGTGTAGTCAGTGGGCGCCGAACCTGCTCTGCACCTCCCAGGCCTGGGTTGGGGGGTGCCGGGCAACCCGTGGCAGAGACAAAATAAGCCTCCTCAGCCTCTGCTTTCTCCACAGGCCTGCCCGGGAGCCAACATGGGGCTTAAGCTGTCCTGCCTGAAAGGTAAGACGTGGGGGCTCCCCGCTCCAGCTCTCATGGAGGCCTGGGAGTGGGAGAGGGTGGGAGGCTGCTGCTTCCCCCCGGAGAAACGGGCACCACTGGGGGACCCCTGCACCTAGTAAGCACTCTGTTAATGCTAGCTACCTCCCAGCGGGCCTCTGGCAGTGGGAAGCCTAAGCCTCAGGTTCCCCTTCAGAGTGCAGGCTGTGCAGAGCCAGAATAAGGAGGCCCGGGTGCCCATGGGATGTTTGCTTTGTGCAGACACACCCGGGATATCTGACCAGGCCTGGAGGGGGGAAAGGCCTGGGGTGAAGGTTCTGGGAGGGTGACTGTGGGGAGTGTTGTGAGAGTCAGCCTGCCTCCTGTGGCCTAGAGCTTGCTGACCAGCATAGGGGCACCTCGCCCCAATGTGCCCAAACAGACTGCTGGCCCAGCGGCCATTCCAGCCCCTCCTCTTGTTCCTATGCACCCTGGACACCCTTCAGCCCAGGGCAGCCCGCACCCCAGCCCTGGACCCTCCTGCCTGGAGGCCTGGTGGGTAGGGGGAGACACTGGCTCCATCTCGCTCTGCACAGACCATGAGAGTTGGGGGCACTGAGAGGGCACTTCCCTGGCCTGAGGCCCCCCAGCACCCCTTCCAGGCACACTGCTCCCTGCGGCTACTCAACCCAGAATCTGAAACATTGGGAAGATGCACCCAGAGCCCCTTTTATCCGCACTGATCCCAGGCAGACCCCAGACTCCGGCCTCTCGGGAGAGCCAAGCACGTGTTCCCACTCTGCCTCCTCTTCCTCTCCTGCTCCAGGAGCTGCTCAGCTGCTCGTCTGCATTAAGAAGGCTCGCTCAAAACCCCCTGCAGAGTCGCTCCCACTCACAGTGACCCTATAGAACAGGAGAGCTGCCCCTGTGGGTTTCTGAGGCTGTGCGTCTTGACGGGAGTAGAGAGCCTCGTCTTTCTCCCACACAGAGCCTGGTGGATTCAAAGTGCAGGGTTCTCAGTGAGCACCTCAAGATCTAATCCACCGCTGCCCCAGAGATCCTGTTAAGAACGTGCACTCCCACCCCTGCCCGGATGAAGGGTTACATTGTGGCTCATTCTGCTCCACGGTTCAGGAGCCTGCTTCATCTCTCGGATAGCCGACCCCACCATGGCACCTGTCTTAGCCCACTTCCTCCTCGTGGGTCCCCTTTCTGTCCCTCCTCCTCTCCTTGCCCAACTGACTTTGGTCCACTGGCAGGTGCTGCTACCCCTTTGATCTCGTGGCTGATGAGTCTAAGGTGGGCGTGCTTCATCTGTGTCTTGCTCCCCGGCCCTCTTACAGGCCTGCCCACTGTGGGGCTGAAAGTTAAGAGGGAGTTCAGTGCCCGGGTACAACGGTGACAGGGAACCACAGTGTTGAGGGGGCCACCCGTCTCTGTCCAGCCAGTGAGCTGGTTGCTGTTAGGATCTTATGTTCTGTTCCGTAGTTTCTATCCAGGGTCTTCTGATGGGCTCCCTTTAAGAGCGGTGGGGAGGTGGGAGGTGGGGGGGGGGGTGTAGCCGGGCACCATCTGCTTCTTCCAGTCTCGAGGGCATGGAGACTGAGCGTTCTCCAGACTGCCACCTTTATTGGAGCCAAGTGCCCGCCTTTCTCGCTCATAGTGGGTGGGTTGGAACCTCTGACCTTCGGGTTAGCAGCCAAGTGCTTATCGGTTCTGCCACTAAGGAGTTGGCTGAGTCTAACTAGGACCAGGGCCAGGCGGCATGTAATTCTGTTACGCCTCCTCGGTCGCTGTCGGTCAGAACCAATTGGGCGGCGCCTGACATCACCAACTGGGGGCTGGCTCATGTTCAGGCTGGACCTCTTGTGGACCCTGTGGGGACCATTGGGTCACTCTGTCTCCACAGCAACACTGGGAGGTGGGTGATGCTGGGATCCCCAGTCTCCAGGTGTGGAAACAGAGGCACAGAGAGGCAGCACAGTCTGCCTGGAGCCACACAGCAGGGGACCTACGTGGACTTGAACCTGGAAAACTGCTGCCACAGTCCTGGCTTCCACCATCACCTCGTACGGCCCCTTCCCACAGTCTCCAGCAGTACCTCCGAGGTTCTGAGTGATGCCCCCACCCAAGCCTGTTGCAGTCCTACCTGTAGCACCTGTGAACATGCCCATGGCTGAAGAGCCCGCCAAACTGCAAACCAAGCCCACCCCCACTGGGCCAATGCCGACTCACAGCAACCCTGTAAGACGGGGTAGAACTGCCCCAGGGGCTCCCGAGAGTGTGACTTGTGTCGAGAGTCAAGAGCCTCACCTCTCTCCTGTGGATCGGCAGGTGGTTTCAAACCGCTGACCTTGTGGCTCTCAGCCAGCCCAGCACATAGCCTCCCCGCCCCCAGGGCTCTTGGAGATGTCATCAGTTCATCTAAGGTCACGGGGAGGAGGGTGGGTGAAGCTACCACTTTCTGAATGGTGTCCTTATAGACAAGTCCTGGTAAAGTGCTCGGCTCCCAATGGGAAGATGGACGGGGTAAACCTACCAGACATAGCAGTGGGCTTCCTCGTGCACAGGTATTTGCCTGGGAGACCCTGTGGGGCAGTTCCACCATGTCCTCCCTGAACATAGGTTTGTGAGTGTGTTAGTCTGGGTATATTAGAGAAACAAACCCATAGAAACTCATGTGCATAAGAGAGCATTTTATATAAAGGTTAAGTGTGCATCAAGAAAACACCCCAACACAATGTTGCCCAAGCCCACAAGTCCAACATTAACCCATATGTCCAACACCAATCCACAAAGCCCTCCTCCATCTCACAAAACGGACGCAATGATGCCGACTGCAGGAGGAAAGCCTAGCCGAATCAGTGAATGTGTAAGCATCTCAGTGCTGGCAGGGTTCTCCGCAAATGCTGCTCCAGCACCCAAGGCTGCAACGGGATAGGTCCATGCTGCTTCTCCTCAGGGATGTCTGGCAGGAAGTGAGCCTTGCCAGCTGAAGCAGGGAACTGGCTAAGGCAGCTGCACCCTGGTCCGACCATCACAAAGCAAGAGAACCGAGAACTGGAAAGGCGAGACTCACCAAGCCATTTATCTCTCTGCCCTTCAATGAACCCCACCTGTGTTTATCGGCCAGATAGGCACAATAAACTTTAACTCAGTGAGTGTCCTTGTCAGCGAGGAGGAGAGACAGGGCACGCCATGTGACCATGCTGAGACCAGAGCTGCTCTTCTGCAGCCCTCGGGGAGAGCCGGGCCTCCCACACCAGGACTGAGATGTCTGTTCTTGAAAGCACCCAGTGCATGCCATCTGAGAAGACCTGGCTGGAGGAGGAGGGATCGCCAGGGCCACCTGCCCCTAGGCCCCCACGGGAGCAAGCCAAGTGGGGCTGGGCAAGCCCCTGTCAGCTGGCTGCACTGACCAGCCGGCGAGATTTGTGGTGGAATCCATACCCTCAGGGCTGCACTGCCAGAGTGTTGAGGCAGCAGGACCTCTCAGACATTTCTGAGACCACCGGGACACTCCAGCACCACCCCTCCCACAGGTGCCCTCAGTCCTCACCTGGACCTGCAGGTGAAGTCTTCACCTGGAGCCGCCTCTGGGCACATCAGCAGGACCCCGACCCGGAGGTTGGGGAAGTTTGGTGCCAGTCCTATCTGTTTCTTACCTGTGTCAGCTGCCTGATGCTAAAGAAGTCATTTGGCCTGTCCAGTGTTCATCTTTATTTCTCGTGTGCACACGCCCGTGTTGTACAGAGTCCTGGGGGTGCCGGGCTGCTCACTGCAAGGCAGGCGGTTCAAACCCACCAGCCACTCCCAGGCTGGCTGCTCCTGGGAAGGTTTGCAGTCTTGAGAGCCCAAGGAGCAGGTGTGCCCTGTGCTGCGGGGTTGTTGCCATGGGTCGGCGTGGCTGTAGAGATGTTTTAAGACTCTCCTCACTCACAATGATTGCAATGTGTGGGGAGGAGCCCAGGGAACCGGTGGTGTAGTGGAGACGGGTTGAGGTGCTCACCACAAGGTCAGCAGTTTGAACCCACCTGGGGAATGAGAGGAGCCTTTTGTGCCCATAAAGAGTTACAACCTTGGAAACCCACGGGACCGTCTTGCACACTGTAGACATGTTGTCAGGAGAGTCCAGTCCCCGGAGAAGGACATCATGCTCGGTCATGCAGAGGGGCAGCGAGGAGAGGAAGGCCTTGTGGAGACGGACTGACATGGTGCCTGCAGCCGTGGGCTCAAGTCCAGGAGCAACGGTGAGGACGGCCCAGGACTGGGCGGTGTGCCACTCTGTGGTGCACTGGTCACTGTGGGTTAGAAACGACGATGGTTGGATCTGGGCTTGCCAGGTAGGACTGAGCAAGACTTGGTTTCAGCGTCTGTGAGATGGACTGCAGGGGGCCTGCCTTCTGCACCAGGCTTGGGGAAGGATCTGAGACCAACTCTACCTGGCACCGCCACCTCTAGCCACTCACGAGTGCCTGGGATATGTGTATGGGGGGTGGGGTGGGGGGAGGACGTGGTTGACCCGGTCCTGGGGGAGATAATGAAAGGTACAGGCTTTCCCACCAGGCTGGCTGGCTGTGACGTAGGGCTGCTTCCCTGGGTGGTGGTGGTGGGGGGGGGGGCGCCTCTGGGGTTCTGTGCAGGGTGCCAGCTCCAGCAGCAGCAAACTCCCACATCATCATGGAGACCGACTCCCCCAGGGCAGTCTGGTCCCTTCAAGCTGCCCATCCCTGGAGGCTCTGGGTCAGGAGCAAGCTTGGGGAGTTGATGAACAGTGAGGAAAGGAGTCAGGGAGTAGGGTTGGGGGCGAGGGGCCAAGTAGAGGGCTGAGGTCACTGAGGCAGGAGGGCTGTGGAGGCTGAAGTGGCACCAGGAATTCCTTCTAGGGCATTGGTTTCCATATGTGCTTGGGACACCTCCTCCTTGTCAAAAAAAGAAAATTAGTGTCCCCCTGGGGACGAAAGCCTGAAAACCTGTACTGCAGAACCCAGGATCCAGTGTAGGTATTTGCGTTTGCTGCCCCC